TGACTCTACATGAAGTTTTGCTAGAGAGGAGGGGGAGGAAAGTAGACTGTAGGAGTTACATTTCAACTGTCCTCAGGCCCAAGAGTCCTTCCTCCACAGGCTCTTCCCTGACCAGACTACATTCTCACAGTATACCAATACTTGCCTCCGAGTCTTGCATAACAATTGCAGGACTTCTGGATGAGGACTCGGACTAAATTTCAAGCAAAAGATACGAATGAAACTATGATAAACTTAATTGTGTACATTATCACAGAAGCCTTTCAAAAGGATATTTTGAGACATCTGGTTTTCTCATGAAAAATAACATCTTTCAAGAGAAATACATACATTTGCACCAAAAAGTTTTCTTAGCAATCAAATTTACCACTCTAAAAGTTACCTGTAGAAAACTTCTGATTATCCATAATAAGTCACTACTTTACCTAGGTCACCTAAGTTCATTTGAGTCCCTGTTGGGGTGGGGCGGGGGGCTGGGGCAGAAGAATATCTTCGAGAGTAGACCAGAACTATCAGCTTTTCATCTCTCCTCAACTTCCTACATGTATGTGTGGTTTCAAGCCTGAACTTTAAGGAGGAACCAGACATGCATCCTGATGAGGAACAGACAGATATTCTGACTAAGAGCTCAAAAGCACTTTTGAACAGAAAGACTTTAAGAAGCTTTTCCACTTTTTTTTTCCCCCTAATTAGTACATATATATGACAATAATAAGATATCGTATCAAACAACAGATGGCTAAAGATTCTGACAGTACACAGAAATACTCACAATGAACTAGACACATTTATAGGTGTTAAGATGCAAAATTAATAGGAGAAATGCACATGTAACTTCTGTTCTCCTTTCAAGGTAGGTACCATATGTTCCTACTTCACTGGTTGTTTCCTACTGATCAGAAATATCTACAAATTTACCTAACACATGTTGGCTGATTTTACTGTATCTCTTGTGATTTTATTAATTGTTAACATGACAAAGGACAATTTTTCCCTTGGAAAAGATATGTTACAAAGTAGACAGTAATCATGACTTTTTTCATCCATCATCCGTTTTCAGATTCAGGTTTGCACTGGACAAAGATCTACGCTCAGACCATAACAAACAAAACAGATGCACTAATTATATCTTGCAGGTTTACATTACACACTTAATCAAACAGTAAAAAGTGAAATAAGTAGGTCTATTCCAACCTAATTATTCTATGATTCTATTGTCTATTGCATCTAGATAAGCATATTTTCTTTTTCAGGAAGAGTTCAGGTTCTATGCTTAGTAACAACATTACATGAGGTACTTCTAGCTCTTCTTGCTCCATTTTTTTCTTGTGTTCCTCCATCCTTGCCCCCTGTATGTCTAAAATCCTTGTCATCTAGTATCATCTTCATTTCCCAGGTTTTTTTTCTGATGCAAAAACCTAATTTTGTCACTTAAGTATCTCATCATTAGTTTCTAGAGAAAAAAGTTAGATGCAAGTCCTACTTGCATTCATTGTACTGAATTCTACCTTCTTTCACTGGCAAATCAGCACTATGGAAAAGCAAGCTAATCATAACCTCAGAACATACTCAAAAAAAGATACTAAGCACTTCGCTATTCTGAGCCACAAAAAAGAAAGCAAAATTAAATTTGCAATCAGTACAGAAGATGACC